AAGCTTTTTTCCTCCATACCAACCAATGGCCCTGTTTTATCAACTTTTGCTTTCGCTAAATCAAAACAGTAGAAGAACTTCCTCTTCCCTGCTATAATGACCTGAGAACCATCAGGTGTGAGAGATGCCTTTCCAACAAGACCATCTTCAAGAAAGACACTTTGTATATTGTTGTTCCGTTTACCATCGATCTGGAAAAACCTGATCCTCCGATCCAATCCTACAGGAAGTAGTAACTGAGCATTCCTATGGAACTAAACTGAATTTAGCGGACCATTGGAAGGTTCCATGACACTCTCTAAGGATCTATTATAAAATATAATATATCAATTAAATTTAAACTTAAACTTGTGAGATGTTATTTATGAAATAAAAATATGAAACTTTTGAATCAAAGTGAATAATATCTCGCAAGTTGAATATCGATTTTTACATCTTCAGCATTTGAATTTACTAGTAAATTTAAAACAGATCTATATATATTTTTACTGTCAAACTAAAAATATTAATATTACCTTAATCCTAACTTTAATTGGATTAATATTGTTATAAAATATAAGTGTTTTAATATGTAGAAAAAAACTAATAATAACTTGATAAAAAGTAAATTTAAATTTTTGTTGAGCATTTTTATTTTTATTTTTATTTATTATCAGTCTTGATTTATTTACTCTTTCTGTCTCTTTTTATATGTTTTTATTTTTCATAAAAATTTTTTAAAAAAATTTTGACTCTAATATATTTTATATTAAAATATTAATGTTTCATGATTTTTATTTATCGAAAAAAATCTTAAAGAATAAGAAAGCTTAAAATATATATTTAGTAAAATAAGTGTTAGGTGTTAAAATAAAAAAAGGACATAATTTAATTTGAGACATAAAAAAACATAGAAAAAAATAATAATCTCTTTTTAATAAAATTGTCACTTGTTGACTTTTTGTTGGTAAAAAATTTTAAACATTGATCACTTTTCATTCTATATTCATAATTTATAGAAGTATGAAAAATATTTTTTAAAAACTTGAAATTAATTATTTTTAAATATATAAAATTTAATTAATTAAAATATTTAAAATAATAAAGGTTAAAATTGAAAAATATTAACCAACACAAAATCAACAAATGACAATTTTATTAAGGCAGGAATAGTAAATAAAACCAAAAAGTAATTAGTAATAATAATAGACAAAGCTTATAAAACTATGTGAAATTTGAACCAATAAACCAATGTTTTTTTTTGGAATATTAAAAAATGATCAATTCTCTTTTTTTGTTTTATAACCAGCTGTTTATGAAAAATATTTAAAAAAAAATCTCACATCTATCTGAAATTATAATATTTTTCAATATGGAGGAGAAAAAAAATTGATATTCCTGTTGGAGAAAAATTGATATTTCTTTCCTATTTCTCAATCTAAACTAATTAATTTGAAGATTTTATAGCAATTTAAAGGAACTAGAACTGTATCTACTGCGTTCTGAAGCATTGGTGGATCGACTTCTGGAAGACCCATCGACCATACAATGTTGCAGGACCAGCACAGACACCATTCCTCCACAAAAATCCTGCGATGCAACCATGTCTCCGATTACCCCAAGCTCTGGATACTCAGCCCAACTGGCCATGTCTCCCTGTAACCTTAGATTGGTTCCCTGTCGTTTCCCTAACATAACAAGGTCATAGCTAGTCTCTAGTGTTCTGATCCAACTGAAAATTTCTAGGCTGTTGTTCACTAGGATATCAAAACATTGTACAGAAACATTGGTCTCGGTTTCTGCCTTGAATTGTTTTAACCAGTTGTCGTCAAGCTGGTGTTCTAATTCATTTTCATGTTGGTTTTCTCCCAAGATGATCCTCATTACCGTGATTTTGACACGAGGATGGCCTGACATTCGAGCTGCTAATGCTAGGGCCTCACGGTCGTCACCTCCACCTATAAAAAGCACAGCAATGTTGCAGAGAATTGAAACTGGTGACGCAGCTCAAGCCCCTTTGTACCAGGATTCCCACTGTGCAGGGTGCGTAGGCTTGCATCACTGACGCTATAGGCATGGGCTTCTTTCCAGGGATTATGCTTATAGGACTGATTATACCAAATGGACCGCCTTTGGGTGCAGCAATAATTGAGAAATCTGAACTCATTATCAACGAATTGTTTATGCCCTTTTTCTATTTTCGGTTGGGTCGTATCATCGATATAACTGGAATACAGGATTGGAAGGAGTTCAATGCACTGTTATTGATAGTCATTTCAGGATATCTAGCCAAATTTCTGGCAGCTTGTTTGTATTCATTATTCTGGAAAATGAGGGTCAGAAATGTTAATTTGCTTGGCCTCATTTTAAATCTGAAAGGTGCACTCAAGTTTATTTATTTCATCAAATTTCTCATGAAACAGGTTAGTAGCCTTTTCTTATGCAAAATTTTTTTTCTTTTACTTTATTTTATCCTCCCATCCTATTAAATTCAAAGTCATATCCATTATAAGATGCCATAATCATGTTCTAACCATAGTCTAATTTTGCTGCAGCGCATAGACGACCAATCTTTTGCCTTACTAGCTCTAACCAATGCCGCCATCACTGGAATTGCAGCTCCCCTGATTGAATACTTTTACAAGCCTCATCTTAGAATTGAAATGTCATTGTCTGCAAAACTAAGTACAATGTCCTTGCATTCGACTCCAATCATCGGCGAATTAAGGATTCTTTCTTGTATTCACAGTGAAGATGATGTCCATGGCATTATCACTCTCCTTGAAGCATCTAATCCAACTCCAGTGACCACCATATATGCCTACGTGATTCATCTTATTGAGCTTATTGGTCTAGCAACACCACTTGTAGCACCTTATGGGGTTAGCAAAAAGGTAGGGAACAGCAGCACAGATCGAATCATGCGTGCCTTCACTAATTATTCAAAAGCTTCAGGCGAATCAGTTGCGGTTCAAGGCTTTATCTCAATTGCCCCACACAAGACAATGTATGAAAGCATTTGCTGACTCGCTCAACTTAAACATGTTCCTCTCATCATAGTCCCATTTCATAAGAGCCATTATCGGCGAAATCAATGCCAACTTCCGTTGTTTTAACATACATGATGAAAGCCTGAATCAGAATTGCAATAACATGATCTTGATGGACTATTCTCCCTCTGGTGTTGTCCTAATGATCCATAATATCGTTGGTCGCATGGCACAAACTGCGAGGATCACAAATACACCAAAAAAAACAAAGCATCAACTGAGTATGATGATTTTGTTTGGCTTGAAATAATCATTATTGCCATAATTGCCCACCCAGCCACATCACTGATCATTGCACTGGACAGGGCAAGTTGGCCTAGCTCTGAGGTTAATAGTTTGAGTTCCTCCAAAGAATAGGCAATATCAGATAAATAACTTGTCGCTAAGACACCACATAATGTGAAAGGGATGATGCCACCTTTTATTCCAGGCATGAAACTCTTTAGCAAGTTAAAGAGAGTAAAACTGACTCCAAGAGGAGCAAACATGCACAGTAGACAAGAATCCAGCCATCTTTTGCTGTCCTTAAGACCATCTGCTTATCCGTTTTCACTGTAATAATGAATACAAAGCAGATCGTGGAAAACGACGACAGTGTATTAATCGTTAACATCTCCTTAGGTGGAAACAATTTGTCCGTTAATGCTGTGTAGCGCCCTAGCACTGAAGGTCCTAATAACAATCCACCCTGAAATTAAAAGGAACCCCAAAAAGTTTCAATATTCAGTCTCAAACCAACTTGTTCAAGTAATTTGTGGAATTTTAGGCAATAAACTAAGCGGTTACATATGCAAAATTGGTGTTTTATAGCAGTTCTACAAACACAAAAAAAAAAGAAATTGAAGAGAAATATGCAAACAAAGCATACCAGTAAATTGCAGACAACTTTAGGCTGTTTCAAAGGCCTTAGAACGAAGTATAATATCCGAGAGATTGTGAAAAACAAGATCATTTGAAACATTGAAAGAGGGATGAAATTGTACAAAGTGTTCTCTCCGAACCAAAAGCCTCTCGAATACATATTCCTTTCATATGATACGCATATCATTTGGTTACCTGTCTCGTTCATTGCCATTTTTTGCTGACCCTATCAAGTTTTCTTCTAGTCAATTTATCCAAGAATTTCTTCCTATGATCCCCTGACCAATGCCCTGGAATGTTTTCAACATTCAAAAACTCACCTTCCATATATTCAAGGTATCCTGACTGTAAAAATAGCTTGCACAAGTTATAACGACCTGACCAAGGTAAATTGAGAGAATGGAAGAGCTTGGTAGTTTCTGGGCAGCTCATTTAATCTGAATCTTCTCTGTTTTTGCCTGAATTATTGTTCTTTACAAGGTATTATGTCTTTTTTGTTTGTTTTTAAAGCATGAGTTGTAATGAATAGCATGAGGGAAAATTCTCTATTTTTAGCTTACATGAATGTCTCAGCTGTTGATGAAAATCCAGGGTACGTTAATATTAGCAAAAAAATTTTGAGGGATTTGGCACCAGTGGTCGCACCTGTAGGATAAACAATTCAAGCAATTAGATTGTAATCAGTTACCTCTATTCAAATAACTAATTTTGAAATCAAATCTTTGAAAAATCAGAAAACAATTTGAAAATTTTCAACGAGTAAAAGCTAAAATAACTACCATAAGTTAAAACTAATCCAAAGTTCTCTACATCACGTCATATACTCATATTGTAACATCATGTATCAATTTTCTTGTGATATGATAATGGAAAGAATATTCAAATTTTACTTTATTTGTTTTGAATAGAAAATCAGACACCAAACATTAAATCAAATGCTCAGAGTATCGAGTTAGCATGCATTATTGCATTATTGGGAAAACTATACAGATTTAACTTGCATTATTGCATTATTTGCCACTTGCATTCTAGTACTAGATAGAAAACTGAATATTAATTAGGCTGCATTTTGCAGCCGAATCTGAACCTGAATTGTTGCTTCTAGGTTGAAGTGTTGAGCGTAGCCCAAATTCTATTTTGTATTTATACATCATCCCCCTGAAGTAGTCAACTTCGGGCCTAACTTCAAACTAGTCTTGAAAAATGTATAAAGCCCATTCCTCAAACGGCCTAAAACAAGAAAAAAAAAGGCAAGTCACCTGTTTTTCTTAGAATCAGCACTGACTCGAAACGCAAGGACAACTGGACAAGTGATCACCATACAAGAAAAAAGTCAGTCTCTCCCTGCCCTGGCCCCTGTTGTTTTCAAGTGTTCATCTTGCACGTGCTTCTAACCTAACCTAAAAATCATCATTTCACAGAAAATCCAGCAGTTTTGGTGGCCCCCATATCTGTAACACTCAACTGCCAAGGATCATCAAAAAATCACTGCCGTTCATTCACAAACCCTCCTTCCCATTGTACCCTTCCCTTCCTTCCTTTATTTACCCATTTGCCATTTACCGCAAAATGTCATGCAAAAAATTGCAACACAAATACAAACCCCAAGATTCACAAGCACATTTATTTTTAGAACTCTTCGCCATACTGTCCTTTTCTATCGCCTTTGTCTTTTTTTCCTGATGTCACTCACTCATTTCTTCACTTCTATCAGTCTTTGGGGTTGTTCCATTTCTCCAAGTTTATTTAATTTTCAGGCTATATAATCGTATAATCTCCCCGGAATCTGATTTTGGTTAATACCCAGATGCTGTTTTCAGGTAACTGTTAGCTAAAGACTGACCCTTTGTTTATTTGTGTTCTCTTAGACAATAATATATGATTGTTTCAATGATCTTCATGTAATTTTCAGCTATGTGCTAATCTTTTTTTTCTTCACTTTATTCTTTGAAAGATGGTTTATTTTTTGTTACTTTTTGAGTTTTCTACACAAATTATCAGAGCTTTGTAAGCAGTGTGGATTCAAAAAGTAGCTGTCTTGTAATCAATCCCCACACTTTTGGATTTAAAATTTAGTTTAAGTTGAATGTGTCAACCATGCATTATTTACTACTAAAGGAAAATTTGTGCTCTTCCAATGATTGCATAAATTCTGTTAGCTATATCTTTTTTTTTTTTTTTGTGGTAAAGTCTGCTCTTTCTTTTGCATTTTGTCACATCCCCTTTGCTTCTATTTTATGGATTTTCTTTATTGGGAAATAAAGGAGTGATCCTGTATTTGTTAAGGTAGAGTAGGATGCTTTCTAGCTACTGTTATAGTTTTCCTGAATTGTTATGGCCTTGTTAACCTTTAGAAAGATGTGTGTATTATATTACACATTCCTTTAGCGTACTTTACCCTTCTTTCCGTATAATCTTAAGTTTAATTTGCAAAAATAAGCTTGAAAAAGCTCTTTGATTCAAGCTTATTTGTGCAGATATATGTGATTCTCTACCCTGATATTTATTCATTTTATTGCAGAACAGATAAAGATGAGGAAAAGGCATTTATATCATTCCAAGCATCCTTTTGATGCATACCGTAAGCGTTCTTACCTCCTACAACCTGTACTTTTACTTTATTTCTTTTTCATTTATTTATTTTTTCGCTTGAAATTGGAATAAAAAAGGTTACAGATTTCAACAGCATGTATAGTTTTTGAATAGTTTGTCATGTAACTAGGCCATTTTATTTGTGACATTTTGCTTGAAAGGAAGGGAAAAACTGCCGACTTAGTTTAACCCACCAGAAATATCTAAAATGTTTAATTGAATCAAAGTTGCCTTTTGTTGTAATTGAACCACCAAAGCATTTGAACAACAACAACAACAACAAAAACAAATTGTTAGTGGAGTTATGACCTTGCTGGGAGATCAATGCTGGATGTTTTGCCCAAGTGTCTATACAGAGGACCTTGTAACTAACTTTTTAAAGTGCGTCTTGAACCTAATCTTTGCATCGAATTGATTGAAACAGATAACAACTCCGAATAGCTGGCAGGTCCTTTAAGTAAATAATTATCTTTGAATGGTTGAATTTTTTACTTTACTTAAAAGATTATTCATCTTCGTCTTTTCCTTTATATGTGGCTTCTTTCTCTTTCAATAGTACTGTTATTTCTCACTGCTTCATTGATTTTTTATTACTCTACTGATTTCATGTCTGACAGCTTTCGAGGTTCTCTTCCAAGACTCATGGCACGCTGTGAAACTCACACGAATCAAGAATGGAATCATGACTTTGCATCTGATAGATGATCAATATCTGATTGAGAAACAACCATTCTCTGATTTTCGTGTTAAGTCTAGGAAGGCATCTTTGTCCGACTGCACCTGCTTTTTGAGGCCTGGTATTGATGTATGCGTTCTTTCCTGCTCTCAGCAGATAGGGAGTCTGGATGAAGAGAAATCAGAGCCTGTAAGTTATGTTTCTTGAGGCTGAGCACTCCAAGCTTCATAATTTGAAATTCATTACCACTTCTGGCCTTAATAGGTTATAAGATGGATTTGAGTGGTTTGCATCTAAATGTTTTAGCTTTTGCCACCATGTTACTTGGAACTAGCCTCCGTTCTCTACTTCTCATATCTTGTAATGCCCACTGGTATAATGTCTCTCAATGAAGTATATTACCGTTCACAAACTAACTGTAGGAATGGCTCAGGTGGGCATAAATTGAATGCTGATATTCTATTCATGTGTGGTTAGCTAAATATGCTAATCTTTAAATTCTTGGTTAAGTGGTTTATCATTTCTTTGATTCTACAGAACAATTAGTTACCATCTTGCTAAAACTATGGTTCCATGATTTTTTAGAAAGTTATAATTGCAGTATTTGGTTTTGATCTTCTGACTCTCTTTTTGATTAGGTGTGGGTTGATGCTAAAATAAGTTCCATCGAGAGGAAGCCCCACAACACTCAATGCTCATGCCAGTTTTATGTTAACTTGTATGTTAACCACGCTCCTCTTGGTTCTGAGAAAGGAATTCTTAGCAAAGAGACTGAAGTAGTAGGAATCGATCAGATTTCTATCCTCCAAAGGCTTGAAAAGCATGCATGTGATGGTGAGCACTATAGATGGAATTTCTCTGAGGACTGCTCTGTATTGAAACGAACTAAGATATTTTTGGGGAGATTCTTATCTGATATATCATGGTTGCTTGTTGCATCTGTTTTGAAGCAGATTGCATTTGATGTGAGATCTGTGCAAAACAAGATTGTCTATCAAATTCTGGGTGAAGATGAGAGCAGTCCCTTAAAATCTCATAATTATCTCTATGCTGTAAATTTGAATGTAGACAATGGCATTTCAGAATTGAATGTGATGCGATTTGATCCCTTCGAAAATAATGAAGCTGTTGCTGCATGTAGCACACATGAGACCAGACAGTGGCCAGTTTATGATGCCATGAACTTGCGACGCTCTAAACGCAGGAATGTACAACCTGATCGTTTCCTGGGTTGTGATAGTCCTCTGGAGTCAGATACTAGCTGGTTTCGAACAACATGTAGAACTAGCAACTGGAGAGAAGAGGAAGATGAACAAGATCAAGAATATATGAACTTGCCACTATCAGAATTGTTTGGCATGAATGCAAGTTCTTCAGAAGAGCTTACCCTGAGTGAAAGAAGAGATTCTGTGAGCAAAAAAAGGAATATTTCAAGGGAGGTGAAATCTGATGTGAGTACTCCAAGGAAATCAAGTGTGAGTAATCCAAGGAGATTAGTTGCAACTAATCCAAGGAAACATCAGAATAAACTTGCTATTGTTCCTGTGTCTTCTGAAAGCAGTCCTCTAGGATTTGGATACTGTCATGTCCTGAAAACTCCAACAAATTATCCAGAACAGGTTGAAGAAGTATCGTTGAATTATTATAGCATGAAACGCTACTGTATGACTAAGCGGAAGAAAATTCCTGCTTTAGAATATATGAATAATGAAAGTGTGTGGAAGGGAAGATCTTCCCCAATGAAAGTACGGAGTAAAAGTTATCAATCTGCTCAAACAAGAAGGGAAGATTATGATGAACCAATAACTTACAAAAAAACAACTCTGAGTGCTGGTGCATACAATAAACTGATAAAATCATATATGAAGAATATCGATTCCACATTCATAAAAGAAGAGCCTTGCATTATAGACCAGTGGAATCAGTTTAAGAAAGCAACATCCTCAGAAATGAATAGGCAAACAGAATCAGAACAACTGTCTGGGGAGGATGAGGGAGAAATGTCAGAAACTGAAATGTTGTGGAGAGAAATGGAAATATGTATGGCATCAGCTTACTTTGAGGATGATGAGGTAGAGCTATTGAAATTTTTTTTGGATCAAATTATTGCTTTATGTGATAATCTGTTGATATAAACACCATCTGCCTACCCAATGCCCAAGTCTGTAGGTTTATTTGTGGTTTATGCATTTATACTTGTATATCAAATGTGTAAATTCATGTCTCAGTTAAGCTTCTCTTCTCCATAGTTAATTCAGTTTATTGATTCTCAGGCTAGAGTATCTGCTGAGTCTCTGCGGAAATCTAATGGAAATTGTCAGCATGAATTCAAATTGGATGAAGAAGTCGGGGTTCTATGTCATATCTGTGGCTTTGTGAGCACTGAAATAAAACATGTTTCTGCACCATTTGTAAGTTGAAACTCAAGAATACAAGTTTTTCAAGTTACTGCTTTTCATTATGTTGTCTGTCTCCAATAAGGACCCTGGACATCATTTTACATTGCATTGCCACATTTTGAGAATAAGGAAGAAAGGAAGCTTTTATTTCCGCTAATTGTCAAAAATGAGGGTGAATGATCTCCAATCCTGGAATGGATGTCTCAGTTCCTTTATGGGCTTTTTCTTGTGCGAATGTGCAGGTATCGGTGTTGGCTGCATGGATGCTTCCATGCATTGCCAACATCTGGATGTGTCTTCTTGTTGGTATCTTTCCTGGCCTGCTTGCAGCATTATCAATATTTGCAAATAATATCAGCTTGGGAACTGGTTTTTCAATTTGGTTAACTTTCAACCATTGTCTTCACAATTAAATGTTTATTGTTGCTTTCTGTCATCCAATTTATTCCTTATGGCTGTCTATTAATTTATATAGCTTTAATAGATGTGTGATTAAACTATTTTCCATTTTTCTAGATGGAACATAAAAGCTGGATAATGGACAGTAAATTATGCAATGAAGAGGAGCCAGAGCATAAAACTGACGAAATTGAGGGCTTGGATCTTTTCTGCAATTACACTTCTTCAGATATGCCATTTTCTGAAGAAAATGACAATGTATGGGCCCTAATCCCTGAACTTAGAAAGAAATTACACCTCCACCAGAAAAGGGCCTTTGAATTCCTATGGAAAAATATTGCAGGTTGTTTGATACCTGTACGTATGGAATCATCATCTAAAAAAACAGGTGGATGTGTAGTTTCTCATTCACCAGGAGCTGGGAAGACATTTCTTATTATTGCATTCCTCGCTAGCTACTTGAAATTATTTCCAGGAAAGAAGCCTTTGATCCTTGCTCCAAAGACAACTTTATATACCTGGTACAAGGAATTCATCAAGTGGGAAATCCCTGTACCTGTTCATTTAATTCATGGCCGTAGAAGTTATAGAGTCTTCAAGAAGAACTCAGTAAGGTTTCATGGTGTTCCAAAACCTAGTCAAGATGTTATGCATGTTTTGGATTGTTTAGAAAAAATACAGAAGTGGCATGCACAACCAAGTGTTCTTGTCATGGGTTACACTTCATTCCTGACATTAATGCGAGAAGATTCAAAGTTTGAGCACAGAAAATTTATGGCTAAGGTGCTGCGTGAAAGTCCTGGGCTCTTGGTTTTGGATGAAGGGCACAACCCCAGAAGTACTAAATCAAGGTTGAGAAAGGTTTTGATGAAAGTTGAAACGGATCTGAGGATATTGCTTTCGGGTACATTATTTCAGAACAACTTCTGTGAATATTTTAACACCCTGTGCCTAGCAAGACCAAAATTCAAGCATGAAGTGTTGAAGGAATTAGACCATAAATTCAATAAGCAAAAGAGACACTTGGACAAAGCACGCAATTTGTTAGAAAACAGAGCAAGAAAATTCTTCCTAGACAAAATTGCCAGGAAGATTGATTCTAGCAAAGGACAAGAGAGGATGCAAGGTCTTAACATGTTGAGAAACATCACGAATGGATTTATTGACGTGTATGAAGGTGGGAATTTTGACAGCCTCCCTGGTTTACAAATTTACACCTTAATGATGAACTCAACAGACATACAACATGAGATTTTGGTAAAACTTCACAACATAATGGCTGGATATAGTGGTTATCCATTAGAATTGGAACTTTTGATAACCCTTGCATCAATACATCCTAGTTTGGTCATGACTTCAAACTGTGTTACTAAATTTTTCAGTCCAGAAGAGTTGCTGGAACTTGAGAAGATCAAGTTTGATTTTAGAAAAGGTTCCAAGGTAATGTTTGTTTTGAACCTTGTTTATCGAATCATCAAGAAGGAAAAGGTTCTCATATTTTGCCACAATATTGCCCCCATTAAATTGTTTCTGGAATTGTTTGAGAGAGTCTTTCGATGGCGGAAGGGTAGAGAAATATTGGTCCTTACAGGAGAATTGGAGGTATTTGAGAGAGGAAGAGTGATTGACAAGTTTGAGGAACCAGGTGGTGCTTCAATGATACTACTTGCTTCGATTACAGCATGTGCTGAAGGCATTAGTTTGACAGCTGCATCACGGGTCATTTTATTGGATTCAGAATGGAATCCTTCCAAGACAAAGCAGGCTATCGCGCGGGCATTTCGGCCTGGGCAGCAAAAGGTTGTTTATGTGTATCAACTCTTGGCAACAGGCACACTTGAAGAAGATAAGTATCGTAGGACCACATGGAAGGAATGGGTATCAAGTATGATTTTTAGTGAAGCATTTGTGGAGGACCCGTCTCAGTGGCAAGCAGAAAAGATCGAAGATGATGTATTGAGGGAGATAGTGGCAGAGGACAGAGTTAAGTCATTCCATATGATAATGAAAAATGAAAAGGCTTCGACAGGTTGAGCAGAGACTAGCTTGCTATAACAGTAAAAACTGTAAGAAACTGCCTCATTTTGTTACAGATCAATAGCTTTTTACATTTGCATGCATGTGTATGTATATATATATTTGTTTGAGTATGTAGTTGAGTCTCCTTTAGTTCCTGTTAAGGATAATCAGTTGAGAAAGAGATGGGATTTTGGCATTTTGGCATTCAGTTATCTCCTGTTAATGGATCATTGCATGATTTTGTAAAGTTTGCAGCATTTATACTTCTCGTTCTGTTTTGCTATATGTATGATCTTCCTCTTCCGTCTGCATTCATGTATATTGTTGCTTTTGCTTTGCTATTTGCTTAATTTCACTGTACATGTATTTCCTGAATTGCAATGTGCAACATACTTGTGCTATGAGGAAACCTTTTCTGCATATTCATTTTTTTATTTCTGTTTTGGTTAATAGGAAGTCTAAGGAGGAGGATTCAAACCTTGAACCTTATCTCTCTTAAGGAGTGATAACAACCGCTAGGCCAACTTGGATCGTTTTCTCTTCAGCTTGCTTGTAATATTTTTCTGGCAACGGACCATTATCATTGTGCTTTCTGGTGCTAACTAATATAACTTCTAAAATAACATGATCTTCCTGCTTGTTCACAATTCCCCCTTTTTTTCCGAGATATTTTTCAAACTGATCCATTTAAAGATTGTATATGATGCTTGCATGATTGTCAAGCCATACATAAATCCATATTAGCATGTTTGAGATATGATATCTAATAGCAGCACTTGAGAGCACGAGTAGCACTAGGACCAGTGACTTCTTGAAGAGAACTCTTACAAAGAATTGACTGCGATCGTATCAGCACTTACGTAAAACAGTGAAACTTTTATTTTAGAATGCACCTGTCAAGCACAGATGACTTCAACAAGCAGACTTTGGTGTCGGCAGGGGTAAAAAAATTGTGCATCAAAACAGATTTCTCACTCCATTTTGTCAAAACAGACTTTTTAACTACAGATGCCACAGTAAAAAGGTTTTCTTTTTACCCTAATTAATCAAACAGAAAGAGATAAAGGAATTGTTAAATGTGAAAAACCATGGGTGGTAGGCTGGTAGGTAGGGGCTTGAAACCAGGAATGCTACAAACCTTTTTCTATAAACTAACTCATAAAGCATGACCTCAACGATGAACAATTACCCATAGAATGATCCCAACAGTTGTTTGGATTAAATTATTGGGAAAAAGAATTTTTTTTTTTTTTCTTGTAGAAGGTTCCATGAATCAAACCCCCATAAAAAGTTGGCAACCATAAAAAAAACATTCCAACTTGAAAATTAAAAACTTACCCTCTCTTTTCTTCCTTACTTGACCCTCTACCCTCTACCAGACTCATTTCCTTGAGCAGGTATTTTCACATTATCCAACTTTATTTTATAGCCCTCATCAGTCCACTTGGCTACTAGTATTTGATTATCAGCTTATCTTGGAAACATATATGAACTCTACAAATAGTAGTAATATTTTCTAAACTTATTTTCATCTAGGTATGCTTTTTTTTTATTCTTTTACGAGTGATTCTCTTTTAAAATCCTTCATATTCTGAATTTAAAATTCAAGTCAGTTAATTTATTATATAATTATCTTAAGAAGAATCATTTAATAGGTTTAAAATTAAAATATCAATACATGTAATTCTTTTCTTTGTACTTAGATTGCAACCTCATTTATATGATGAAAATAATTAATTTCAAGCTGTTGATACAACTATTAAAATAGTGGTTTTTTTTTAATATAAAATAGAAAATGTCAATTTGACACAATTATTGGTTCAAAAGTTTGAACCTCAGACTTCAGTCTTAACATCAAATTGTTGAAAATCAGTGAGTAGATACCAACTTAGTTAAGCTCCCATTTTTGCACCTAAAACTTTCATAAGATCAATAAACTCTCTTGGGACTATTAATTTATAGTGTTATGGGTTAAAATTTTCAAACCATAAAACAACCAAGTTGGTTGGAGTAGAAGGAAAAAAAAAAATTGGAGAAAGAGGACAAAAAAGAAGAGATGAACCAAAGGGAATCATGTCAAAAGTTGGAAGAGTAAATTGAGGGGCAGAAACTTGGCCTTTTCTTAATGCTTTTGAAAGAGAAAGAGAAAGAGAGATAGAGATTATTAAAGTTAAATGTGGGTAATTAAATAGAACCAACTTGATGTAAGTGAAGTTATTGCACTAACCCTTATTTATATTTATTCTATTAATTTTTTGGTTTTTTTTTTTCAAATGTTCAATTTAAGAAATTAATTAGATAAAGATAAAATGCAAAATTATATAGCCTATCTTCAAAACTATTATATTCTCAAATCCATGTTAATCAAAACCCTTTAATAAATATATAAAAATTAACCTCTCTTAATTTCAAACTGTAATATTCTCCTCAAATTTTAAAAAAAAAAATTGATTATTGAAACATGAAATTGAATAATATATGTTGAACATATCAATAATATAGAATAGTAGTGTTTTGGTAATGAATATTATAAAGACACTTATTAAGATCATTGTATCAAGTAATGTTTTCTTTCAATGCGCTAAGAACTAGATTATTATATTAAGTGCCTTAGAATTACCAAAATAAATTCAACTATGGCTAACTTAATATTGATGTCGACATTGTTGTTGAAATTGGTACTTATATTTATGATAATTAGATTTGATGATTCTAATATACATATGGTGTAAAATATTAAAATTTATATATTTATATTTTTTTTTTCTAATGATAAGAGAGTCAAAAGATTTGAAGAAATTAAAGAAGAGCAAATTTGTAAATATTAAAAATAAAATATTAACATTATTTCACCTCCGAAAAGAACCCTAACTTTATAAGAACTCTCTAAAGGAGTATAAAATGAAGTGTATAATTATTATTTGTATTATTAATTTTTATTTATTTGAAGAAAGAAATATTTTATTAGTGTTCCCTGAATAGGAGATTATTTTTTAATATATGCATCATCACTTTATTCACCATAAATTGTGAAATTCATATACTTTATGATTAAAGTTGTATTAAAAAATAATAAATAGAGTCGGACAATAACCGAGTAAACTACTGCTACGCTTGATTTATATTAGTAAACTTAAAAGGTTAATAATAATAATAATAATAATAATAATATATCAACATTCAACAAAATAATTAACAACCCCAACTTTTAATTTAAAAATAAAATAAAATAATTAAGAAAGTGGCAGTCTTGTAGTTTGAATAAAATAATAGGATAATCTACCTAAAAAAAGTCCAAAAGAAGCTGCAACTTGTCGATCCACTTGCATTGTCCGGCGTAACCTGTTTGATAAGAGGAAAGACCAGACCTTTCTCTGTTTCTTCTTCCAAGAAATCCTCCAAACTATTCCAACTTGACCTCTCTCTCTCTCTCTCTCTCTCTCTTTTTGTATATTTACTATAAACCCTCCCCTTTAATCTTGTCGTATATATTCAAAACATGAGCTCTAAGCCAAACCCTCAATTGTGACCCTCATAAACTACCCACAAATGCCTTCCTCTTTGCAGCTCCACCGTGCCACGGCCACCCCCACCTCCTCCATTGGCAGCTGGAACCAAAAACAAGCTCAAAGGTTTTTCCCTCTTCCTTGTGGTGTCTCCGTGCCTGACACGGTGGCGACGCACCATATCCACGCCATGGGTCCTAACCAGTGTTGTTCTGCTGTGGTTCAAGCCATCGAAGCCCCCGTGGAAACCGTTTGGTCAGTGGTTCGTCGTTTTGATAACCCTCAAGCTTACAAACACTTCCTCAAGAGCTGCAACGTCATCGTCGGTGATGGTAACGTGGGCACCCTCCGGGAGGTCCACGTGGTTTCGGGCCTCCCCGCCGGTTCCAGCACGGAGAGGCTTGAGATCCTGGATGATGAACGCCACGTGCTTAGCTTTAGCGTGGTAGGAGGCGATCATCGGTTGACTAATTACAGGTCCGTCACAACTCTACACCCTTCATCCATTGGTAACGGGACAGTTGTTGTCGAATCATTCGTCGTTGACATACCGCCTGGTAACACTAGAGAAGATACGTGCATTTTTGTCGACACAATTGTACGTTGCAACCTTCAATCTTTGGCTCAAATGGCTGAAAATATGGCTAGAAGAGAAAATTTATCATCCCCATAGAATTATTAGAAAAAAAAAAAAAGAAGCTCTAACTCTCTTAATTAATTCCTTTTTTTTTCCTATGTGGGATCGATGAATGGCAAGTGAAGGAGTATCTGTTATCAAAGCACATATGGGAATTCATAGATCAAAATAGAGGCCTTGATGGAGTTGAAGGTGATCATATATCACTAGTACTACCAATAATGATTTAATGTTAAACTTGTTTTTGGCTTATTTCTTCACCATTTTCTGTTTGAAGACTTTGCTTGCATATGATCACAGTTAATTTTTCTGTTCATTTTCTCTATGTATTATGAACTTGTTTCAGGGTTTTTTTGTTACATTTGGTCAGTCAAAAAGTTGTAGTAATTATTTCTTGTGAATTCTCTCTAGATTATTACCTTCTTTGTTTTCCCTTTTTCTTGTTGTATGTATTTCTCGAAAAATATAATAAAAACAGTAGGAATCTGGTCAGTCAACCATAAGACAAATTCTTCAACTTCAATATTTTTATCACGTAAATTCGGCAATTAAGATCATTGTTTATAATTACCATAAGAAATCAACTTGATGTTTCTTTTCTATACTATCTTTTGGGTTAATCAAGTTAAGTTTTTAATATAATATATATATATACCCTAATTTTTTTTCCGTAAAGTGTTGAGAGATTCCAATTTGCAATGCACTGATATTGGGGGACTCAACTATTGGGAAAATTCCCCCTTTTTTTTAAACTATAATTTTATGTCGTACAACTACATTATTCTTTTACATTTCCCTTTACCTTAAGAGAATATTACAATTAGGGTTTAATAGGATGTATAAAAGGCTAACGATGGTCAAAAAGCCGATGTAAGACATGTAAGAGACTTGGCATACATTGATATTTTAATAATTTTTATAGGTTTCTTTGAAGTTTTTTATCCATCATATATAGAACATGTTTAAAAGAAAGAGGATGAAAAATCAATAGAATATTCAAATGTTGATTTTTTTTTAAAAAAAAAAATACCCTAGTTTTAGAATTTTCTATATAAGCGCATGCATGGCGTGGCTTGGAATACTAAACAAAAAAATTAAAGAAAATGTTATTTACTTAATATATTATTTCTTTTTGAAATTGATAGAAATAATGCATTAATGTAACTTTTTTAAAATAATATCTTAATTATTTTAATCAATGTTTATAAACACCCAATAATATGATTTTAACATTAATATATTGATTCTTTTTTAGAGAAAGAATCAACCAACTACTTTGCAAATTGCAAATTGACTTTTAAAAACTCCAACTTGCAGAAAACAATGCAAGTTGATGTTAATTTTTCCACATCTTTTCTTAATATTCTTTTCCCCTTTCTCCATTAGTAGCAGTACTACGTATATTTTTTGCTGTTCCAGGATGGGGATTTGCAAGTTGGTTTCCAAGTGGGCACGAAAGCTTTTAAAGTTCCACATTGTTTTCGTAACAAAATGAAACAAAAGCCACCCATTTTGTTTCTGTTTTGTTGCTGATTTGACTGCTCAAGCCTTCGTCACTTAAGAATACTTAATCTTCATTAATTTCATCAATTAATGGCCATATTTTTCATAATCCTATATAGATCTTTGGCTTTCTACAATATGATCTTTTGTTGGTGCAATATTTCTACAACAAAAAGTCGATCTGATTTTTTATTGTCTTTGAATTTGATTCAACTTGATCGCGTGTTTTTTGAATTTAAATTCTGTCAAAGGTATAAAATGGAAAGAAAAAGATCTATATCTTATCCAATGTCTAATCAAAATGTTTTGTTCAAACATTCAAAAAGCCATATTGGCCACTTGCAAAAACGTAATGCGATTTTCTCTTATTTGAAACAGGCTGGAATTTGCTTAGAAAACCAGGTGCGGTGGCACCCCTACACGTGGCTCTTGTCTGCAACTAGATAAAGAAAAAAAAAAAAAAACCCTTTTTTTGAAGCAATTTGGTGGTGGGAAAGAGAGCCGGCGCAGGCAGCTAAGACATGCAGACAATCGATGATTCTTCAGTATAAAATCGCGAATTAAAGCTGACATGTGCAGTAAGAGGTTTTTTAAACAAGTTGTTTAATTTGTTTGAGAAAAAGAAAAGGCCTGTTGGCTGTTGATTACACCAAATTGAATCTTTAGAATGAAGCAGACAAGGGGTAGGTGCCATTTTGGGATGTAAAACTAGTAGAAATCTAATCCAATTTTGATCAGGGTCAGCATCAGTACACCGAGATATACGGCCTCCCCCTCAGCAATGAATTACGGGGACAATTGAGAGAAAGGGAAAGCTCTTTTATATACTTTACATTGAGTAAGACCTTACGTGAAGACTGGAGTGGTGACTAGTTAGCTTCTTAATGTTGGCGCCAATGACAGAACAATCGAAACATGCGAACTCATATTCATACGAGGCCTTTAAAGAACATGGGAAAGATCATGTATATGTCACGTCCTTTAAAGAAAGTAGGTAAAGTATATTAATTTTATATCGAATAGGAAAAGAAAAGATATATAAGTATTAATGATATATATTTTAATAAGTTGATTTTACCATGAAATAATAATAGTCGTGAAAGAAGAAATATCATAATTAACCATTCACTCATTCGATTTCACGTAAAATTATTTTAATGAGATAAATAAGATAAATTAATCTAATAATTTAACAAAATATCGAGATAAGTTACAATAATATAATCTAACTATGTCAAACACTAGAATGAGAGTAGATAAAATGATAATCATGAGAAAACATCATAAAATACATAATAACTCTCCTTCCACGCACACATACACACACATATATGTAGATGATTAGCAAAAATAACTTATAATAACATACAAATTAAATTGAAGAAAAATAAAACTTGAAAGCATATGTATACATTTTATATCGTATTAAATATGAATATGTAGCACTACCTAAAGAATATATAATATATATGAGAATTTCGGATGGGGTAATTTTAAAAAGGAAAAGATTATATACACAAAGCACATAAGGATTAAATTGTAAAAATATAAAACTTGATTTCTCAAAAAAAAAAAACTTGAAAGAAAAAAAACAATGCACGTGTACAATATATGTATATAAATATTGTTCTTTTAAAAAATATATCCTCCAATAAATGGGCTTCCAATCCTTTTAATCCGTTACTACCTCGATTGAAATCAACTTCAATAGATTTGTTGAATAGATTTACAAGGTTGTTCAAGGGATCATCCTCGTGGAATTCATCATGAAAAGAGTGATGAGAAGCTCTTGGAAAGAAAAAGAAAAAGAAGGATACCATTCTATTATCGAAGTTTATTTATGAAGCTCAAATTATGATCACACAATATCTGTTAAAAAAAAAGCTAATGCTGATGGGTTTTGCTTTTGCAAAATAAAAAAAGGGTTATACACTTGAAATGAAGGGTTAATGGCGATATAAGGTGAAATATTTATCATTAAAATTAATAGTTGAAAGTTGAAAGGTTGGAAAATTTTATAAATCGTAATTTTTTTTAATCGAATAAAAAAATTTAATGTTAAATAAGAATTAAAAAAATCAGGTAGGATACAAGTGAAGGAAAAATTCACCCACTTGGAAGCCCAAATGAACTTGGAAAATAGTTTCTCTGTAGGCCTAAATATCATAACTAGTAGACAAAACTAGTGAGTCCACGACATGGTTAAAGCAAAACTATGTGTAAGTAATATCTTCATTGTGATATTTCAAATTTAAAAAAAAAAATCAATTCAATCACATTATTGTTATTTCCTTTGCAATAAACACTATTATTTTACAAAGCTCCTCTGTTTTCATCTACTTTTTCATTTTTCTTCTCCCTTTGTCCATTCTGTAGACCAGTTGACACCACCCAGGCCAAGCACCAAAAACTTGTAAAACAGGCTTGGCCATGACCAGAACCAATTAGAAAGAAGATTTGATATATATAATTCATCATCAAATAAAATTATATTCAAGGATAGAATAGCTTGGCAAAGAGAAGCTCATTCCAAGTGTCTTGAAGTCCTGGCAAACACCAATGCACGCAGTCAGCATAGCTAACAGGGTTGGCTAGCTGCTCCGGAGTCAATGGATTCCATTGCTTCTTGTAAATTGATGTGTGCGCATCTTTGCGGTAACTTGAAAGTTGAGTGATGTTGAGAAATGTGATGGGAATCTTGGATTTACTGAATACTTCCCCAATCACTTTCATTATACTTTTTCTGCTATCTGAACCCCAGTAATTAAGATCTTCAATCAAAGTTGTTTGATTGTAACAGTTCTCACCAGGTTTACCTCCCCAGTCAATGCTCCTGCCATAATATGTACAGTTGTATTTCAGTACTAATAATGAATCTGAAGTGATCAGACTAAAATCCGCCATATGCTGAAATTCTATATATAGTAAGAGAGAAAGAGAGAGTTTAATTTTTACTCACTTTCCATGAGTAGGGGACATGCTAGTGAAAAAAACCCTTGTCTTCTTTCGATCCATGTTCTTCCTGACCCATCTCAACATGCTTCTCATTGCCATACGATACGCATCCTCAGTTGAGACCTTTATTATTTCTTTATCGTCATCCTCAAAGGACCCTTTCCTGTCGAAACATGTATAATATATATATTAAGGCCTGATCAGACCTGTCCCTGAACGAAAGAAAGAGTTGATTCCAGGGAAAATGAGACATACAAGATCTTCATCTCCAGGCCAGTCATCCACCATAGATAGGTGTTGAAAACCAAAATGTCAACGCCCTTCCAATGCTTGCCATGCTTATTGATCGAACCTTTCTTGACAATCCTGTCAGATATCCTGTGAACAATAGCATTATCCGAGTTGGATTCAAGAAGAAATGGAGCCCAGTAGAACTCAATGGTGGCATTGTAATTCTGTAGAAAAGGAAATAAAAAGATTAAACTTGCAATGTGATGTGCTAATGACTGATCTTAAGAAACCAATGAAGATTTAAACAAATTTGGCCTTAATTACCTTGAGTCTGAACACTGTCAGGGCATCATTATTATAGGTTTCCATGGATTTTTCATCTTCTGGGATGAGTCTGTGGAGAAGGCAGATCATTGACACACATTGACCACGGTTCAATGAGTCTCCCACAAACATCATTCTCTTCCCTTTTAGGGTCTCCAGCATCAATGTGGCATTGAAACTGTTAAATAGAGCGAGACAACATTGCTCAAATCTACTACCCATATAAAATTTGATGTATAATAATTAATTCCACTTCAGAAACAAAGGTATATGACGATTAATCATACATTTCTCATCAAATCTTTAGTTATTAGGCTAAATTACAGATGTACTCCTTACAAATGTCATACGAGATCACGAAAGAAATCATCTAAAATGTGAAAAATAGTCAATCCAATCAAAATGAAAAAAAAAAAAGTAAAGAAATTGCACGTAGAAAAATGAACTCTACCCTACTAAATTATAAATCCATAATTAATAATTAATGCCCATTAATTGAAAATTTAGAATAATTTTTTTTAAAAAAAGAAAAACGCCACATTTATTATATGAATCAAATTGGTCAATTAAGTAACTTTGAATTTTGAACAAAATTAACTTCAACTACTACTTTTAACGTCTAGTATATCTTAGTCTTTGTCGAACACAGTTTCATGCTTATACAAAAACAATTTAAATAAAATGTATTCATAGATCAATGTAAAATATTAAAATTTATATTATCTTTTATATAAATATTATATATTATAATTTATATCGATATTAAAATATAAAATATATTTTTATAATTTTATTAAATTTATATATAATTATTATTAAAATTTAAACTATATTCATGTTATATCATTATAGCACAGATTTCATATTTAGAATGTATATTTTAGCACTAAAATTAAATAAATTTTTCGTATCTAAGATGCCTTTTTTGTGATTTTAATATATTTTAGTATGAAAATTAAATAAACTCTTCTATTATGCCAAAGCAAAAACTTTTCTGCGTGACTACTCCCTCATTCAGTCCCACGTGGCAGAATGTTGATAGTTAAGACCCACAGAACTGACACGTGGAAAAAAGTAACACTGGGTCCCATCTCCTTTATATTTCATACTGGCCAACAGCAACAATTTGCTCAGCCCTGTAGCCACGGATCCACTTCGATTTGGCACGTGTACAGCCATGCAACGTGGACAGCCGTCGCCGCACGCCGGTTCAACGGCCGGAGACTTAAACCCGACGAAAATGCTATAGCTGTAATTCGCCAAGTCAAGCCAACCAACAAACAGAAAAAACATTGCTATTTTTAATTACATTTAAAATTTTTTTTCATAGAGAATTAAAATGATTAATTTACAAAAGAACATTAAATTAGACATATATTAATAAGAAGAAACAAAGGCTTTAGAATTATCAAAAGAGAAACAAATTATCAAAAAATGAAAATTGAAAGGTTACGTTTTACCTAGGAAGATCACAGCCATGAGGTTGCCATCTCCATTTCTGATACTCGGTGTCAGGTCTTCCATATTCTTGACACGTCAACTGTGGTTGAATGTACGGACACTCCGATTCTTCATAGAGAGGCCGAGTTAACTCGTCCTTAACCCACCTCCCACTGAATATATCACATCCTTCTTCACTCTTCCCTATAGCGAATGGCAGCTTCTCTCTTTTCTTCACTAACCCCAAACCCCAAAACTCAGTCAAATCCAAAGAACCAAAAAACAAAAAAAAAAAAAAGGAGCTTGAGTGGACTTGAATGAGTTAGGTTAACTCACCTGGTCTAGAGATAGCTCGACCGGGGATTGGTTCAAGCTGTCCAAGAATGCACATGAAATCCTCTCCATAGAGGATAGCAACGAAAAAAATGAAAGCAAGCAAAGTGAAAAGGAAAGGAGAGAAACGAGCCTTTCTAAGAACAGCAGAGGAAGAAGAGGGAAATGGAGGCTTCATATTTTAACTATTTTAAAGGGTTTAAGAGTTTAGAAATGTTGAGATTGGATCCATGAATTAATATAGGAAAATTATGCACACACTCTGGAGAAAGTTTCAACAATGGAATAGTATGATGAGATGTCAAATTATAATTATAAATTATAAAATATAATAAATAAAATCTGATTGGTTGCATATGGTCGCCAGGTCATGTCTTAACTGTTTGGTTGCGACGTTCATGAGGTTGAAATTTTTTTTTTTTGGGGCTTTTATAATTATATAAGTGAATAAATAATTAATTAACTAGCTAATTAATAGTTATTAAAAGTTAATTAGGATTTAAGGCAAAAGTGGTCCAATATTTTTCCATTATTGAGAGCATTTAAACCAACGGCATGTAAAGCAACTTGTCATTACTTAATTCAACTCATTAATAAATATAGGTTTTTAATTAGATTCTGTAGATTAAGAACTTATAAATTGATTTTTTTTCTTCATAATTTTACGATTTATTTTCATCTAATTATTCTTATATTCTACAGAGATCTAATTTTTTTATTCAATTGATTCAAATTTATTAGTATTAATAATAATTTTATTTAAATTGCTCAAGAGCAAGTGTGAAGCTAAAAAATTATTATCTAATACCAATACGAATTAAAATTTTAGATTTTGACTTAACTTTCTTTTTTTTTATTATTATTATTATTATTATATTTGAGATTATTAGGCGTTGAGCTATAATAATTTGAATTAAAATTTAATATTTTAACCGTAAATAAATCATAAAGCTTAAGCAAATAAAATTTTAATTCTTTTTTCATCCTAGTTATTAGGGGAAAAATAGAAAATTTTGTATCTATTATTTTCATTAATTACTTCCAAATGACAATTATAGACAATTTAGTTTTCATCTTTCTTTAACAGGCTTTTATTTCATTCAAATTAAAATTAGTAATATATTAAATATTTTCATTCCATATCAACTGAGACACACATATTGCACCCAAAAAAAATTTTTTTTTCTAGAAAAGCTAAAAGAGTGATGAAGAGTAGTGGGTAGTGAATGATTTTGATGGAAGATTATAATTTTCCCTTGGCTTGTAAGCTAAGGGTGTGTCCCAGAATTTTAAAGATGGCACATCATTTTCCCACTTTTGTACACCCATTATTACAATGACTTGGAGAGGGGAAAAAATGGTGTGATGATGAACTAAATTAGGGCTGATTTCTTTTAAGAGAATTAGGTGAGGATTTGGTGGCTTTTCACCTTCTTCATAATTTGTTGACTTTTATATATATATTTTTTTCTTACTCTAATCCTCAACAAGAAAGCGGCTGTTAAAGTGCTGTCCAGCTGATATAATCAGCAACCCAATGGGAATGGATCAACTAAACCTTTTCCTTGTGTTTTTATTTCTTACCTAATGTTAATTTATATATATTTTCTATAAAGAAGGTCATCATGATATAGATAAATGAATTATAATTATTGATATTTAAATTTTATATTTATTCGAGGTTATCCATTTAGTGTAACTATCAACTTAAAACCCTACTAACATTGCAATTTTGCTAATCCTGCGTGCCGTATTCTTCTCAAGCAATTACTTTAATGGGGATGTTTAATGGGTACTATTCCACCAAAAAAAAAAAGAGAAGAAAAAATCCTTCACTATATCTACTAAAAGATTTTTAGTTTTTAACTCTTAGTTGAAATTTGCTTCTTATTTTCCTTTTTTTTTTTTTAAACCAATGTTCTATAGTATAATATCTAAAATTTCAGAAAAAACGTTAATGGAATATTACTATATACTGTTCCTAGCCGTTGCAATGTCATAGTGACTCAGATTAGGAAACTAGGAATCAAAGCCTAATGGCTAAAGCCTTTGGATCGCCTTGAACCCCCATCGATTTATAGATTTTATGCACTGTTTTCTTGCTCAAGGAAACTCACTTTCCAATGACATTTTGCAAAAAGTGCTGCAATGAACAGCTAAAGTTTCAGTGCTGCAAATTGAAGTTTACATTGTTTAGCATTCAATTGAGATTTAACAGATTTGGAGGCTCAGTCACGTTTGGAGATCCCACTCATTAATATCAGGTAAGCTTTTCAATTATATGCATAGTTGATTTGCATTTAATTTATGCCAGAACGTTCTTTTTGGAAAAGATTCTCTGCTTAGTATACATAATTCAGCTTCTTCTTCATCTCTCAGAACATGCATGTTGAATTCAATCACAATTAAGTTTCCATCTCAAACATCAATATTCAACAGTGGTATGCCATTTTCTTGAACTGATGCAATTTATTTTTACCATAGAACCTAGCAAGAAATTTCTGAAATAATTGATTTTAATGATCTGATTCAAACCTGTATCAACCATTGAATGAAAATGCTCGGATATTTTTGAATCGTTTTAATCCATCTGTTGTTGTGTTGCTTTTGCACTATTATTTTTTTTGTTTTCAGATAAGCCATACTTTCTATAAACATGAAATGCAAATCTTCATTTCATCTAGTTACAAAACAATGATCAATTCATTCACTTTAGTGACATTTTTCTTTGTAACAATCACTATTATTTTACAAAAATCCTCACCCCCTTCCTCAATTTTCACTCTGTTCACCACCTATCCCAAGAACCAAATGTTAGCTACGACCAAATCATTTACAAAGAGGATTGATTTCACATTTCATCATTGAAGATTATATATAGTCGAGGATAAAACAGCTTGACAAATAGAAGCTCATTCCAGGTTTCTTGAATGCCAGGCAAACACCAATGCACACAGTCAGCATAGCTAACCGGATTTGCTAGCTATTCAGGAGCCAATGGAGTCCGTTGCTTCTTGTAAATTGAGGTGTGCAGGTCCTTGCAATTACTTGAGAGTTGAGTGATGTTTAGGAACATAATGGGGTGCTTTGATTTCCTAAATTCTTCTCCAATCACCTGCATACTTTGCTTTCCGATCCCCAGTAATTAAGGACTTCAATGAGAGTCGTTTCATTGTAACAGTTCCCCCCCGATTCACCTCGCCACTCGTTGCTCCCATACCAAATATATAAAAATTTCATTTTTTATACCATAGCCAGCAGGCTTTGACCTGAAAGATTTTTACTCGCTTTATATGCAACGGTGAGACATGCTAGTGAAGAACACCCTCGTATTGTTTCGATCCATATTTTTCCTCACCCAATTCAACATGCTTTTCATTGCCACAGGATAAGTTTCCTCAGTTGTCAGCTCTTGTATATCCTTTTTTTCATCATCAAATGACCCTTTCCTGTCAAAACATGAAGCCAATATCCCACATATCAGCCCATCAGACCATTTTCTGAACCAAAAATAAAACAAAATAACCTAACAAGGTGTCAAACGGCTTATAAAGATTCAAACCAAGGTGAAGAAAACACTACAAGAACTTCATCTTCTGGCAGGTCATCCACCATAGATTGGTGCTGAATACCAAAATATCAACACCTTTCCAATTTTTGCCATGCTTATTGATCGAACCTTTCTTAACCATCCTATCAGCTACCCTGTGAACAATAGCATTATCCAAATTCGATTGCAGAAGAAATGGTGCCCAGTTGAACTGATAAATGGTGGCATTATAATCCTAAACAAGAAAAAAGAAACCTGTAAACGGCCAGTAAGACAATCATATTTCAATCACTGAATCAAATGTTCCGATACAAACCATATGGAAGTTAAACAAAGATTTTGGATTCCAATTACCTTGGCCCTGAAGACTGTTAGTGATTGATCGTACGAGGTTTCTAAGGATTTTCAATTTTGAGGGAGAATTCTATGGAGAAGGCAGACCATTGTCACAATAGAGAATGACAATCATGAAAATGAAAGTTAATAAGGTGTAATAGTAAGGAGAGAAGAGACGTGCCTTTTTCAGAACAAAAGAGGAAGAAGCCGAAGGCTTCGTTTCTTTTCTTTTTGATATAAAGAAACTACGTTTAGATCAACATGAAATAAAGGTTTAAGGGCTTTCGAAATGTGAGAGAGAATTGGATCATCATTTGCAATGAAGAAAATATGGAAAATTTTTGGTGGTTTGATTGAACTTTCGATGTTTTCTCTATGATTGATTACTATAATTACATGTGAGAAAATAATGAGAGAATAAATTAATTACTATAATGATGATGTCAAGTCTTTATTTTAGGTAGAATCTTTTGTGCCATGTTAATTTATTTTTTTATGTATGTTTAATTAAATTATGATCCAATATAATTTTTTTTTGTAAGTTAAAATTTTATGATTTGTCAAAATTTTAAAATTTTGCGATAATTTTTACAAAATCAAATCCGTAAAATTAAAATTCTATATAATTAGTTAAAAATTAATTTATCAAATAAGTTAGCATATGTTGGATATGATCAATTCTAAAATTAATTAAATAACAAATTGAAAGATGATTGAGGATATATATATATATTAGCATATTAGGGCGGAAGTGTTTTAAAAACTCTCTTACAAGCTGTTCCCCATGTCACATGGTCAGCACTATTCCAATAGTGATGGATCAACTAAAAGGTTTTCATATGCTATATTTTATTATGTATCCAATCAATTATTATATTTAGTTGTCTATGGCTTGTAATTATTTTCTTGTTTTTGGTTGTCTTTTAACCCAACATATTGAAATTAAGACTTTCCAACATAAATTTTATAGTATAATAATAGTTAGGTGACTCTCGTATTTTTAATAAACAACAACCTTCTTACTTGATTCTCTTCATGAATTAATATTTTATGGTTGCTAATTAAAGCTATGATTCTCAAATAATTTAAATATAACTTTAAGATAAATTGTATTAATTTAACATAAAATGTTGCTCTCTATGATAACGTAACATATATTCTTTAAGTATCTTCAACTACTTGGTTTAGTAATCAAAATAACCATAAAAAAAATATTAAGATTGAAGTTCGAATAAGACAATCATAAAAAAAACATTAAGGTTGAAATTTGAATCCCAACCTTTCTTCTCTCTCCTTAATGTAAGGCTCTGCCTCTTTAAATGACTAAAATATATATATATATATATTTTAGGTGTCCTAAAATTAATTAAAAAAATAATATTTTAATTTAACGTGTGGAAATAAAAAATTATACTATTGATTTACAAAATGTGATTCAAATCTGTCCCTTAGGCCCAAGACATCTTAGGCCTAGAGCCCTTGTATTTACTCAAGTTTCTGCTGTAATGCGATTAAAGAATCCATCAAACGCTGTCATTTGAGCTGAACGAAGTCCAAGAAGGACCCAAGTTTGTAAGAGCAAACCAGACAGACACTCCAGGTTAACCCAATGTTTTTCCAATCTCTAACAGCCTGTTAAACTCTATATGGTCGAGCAAATACAAACTGAACAGAAATACAAACGATGTTTCATGAGTCAAAACCATGCAAGTTTCATCTTCACATCACAAAGTTAAACTTGACTAAAGTCAGGATCAAACTCTCTTTTCAGAAGATAAATAGTAGAGTGTCTGATTTATCATTATTTTTATCCAAGATGATAACAAAAATACAATGAAAATAGCCTAAGAAACAACTACAAAAATGTCCAATAAAGGAATGAAGATTGCATAAAAAAAGGTCAATATGGATGAAATAATCATGTGAAAAGAGATGATGAAAAACACGAAAAAGAGGCTGAAGAAAGGAGATGTTATGTGGTAGTTCTGCGTCGGATTTCAAGATATCATGCCATAAACAGATTGGAAACCACTCCCCACAAAATCATTTGCAGTTGCTTGTGGAAGGTTCATGACCGAGCTCTCTCAAAACTGGAGTAGCGACTAACATGGAGCAACAAAAATTGCAACTGCTCAAAAATTGACCTGAGAATAGAAGCTTCTATGACTGGCTGAAGGTCCTCTAAACTTCCGCACCAAAGAAGAGAAAAGACTCTGGAAGAATGGTAACATATATGGTTATAAAATTAACAAGTTTTGGGTCATTTTATTACCTGTGTAGAAGAAACTGGCTGAATATACCAACTAACAAGGGATACCTGTGTTCTATGTGGTAAGCTGGCCCAGAAATCCAAGTTTGGAATTGCCTGAAGAAAGCAGAGCAAGGACATAACAAAGTTAGAAGAATGGTCAATGGACCAACGCAAGCCAAAGTGCCAACTCTCACACACAAAAAGAAAGGCGTTCAAATTGTGAGGGAAAACTTACTTCTATACCGTGAACTCCAAGGAAAAAATATCGATAAACTGTACCAGCAAGCAGATAGGCTCCAAAGAGGCATACAATACTAGAAACAAAAATAATCAGTCAGTTGAGATAGACTCCCTTAGAACTATAATGTTATCTAGATTGTTTTTATTCAGAAGAAATCTAATAAAAATAAGGAAGTAAAAACCCTTACATGATCATTAAGGTACCAAACCAGCCAAATCCGCTGTCATGAACAGATATGATTGTTGCACAACCAGAAGGATGCTGCAGCACTGTGGCCTGTCAAAAATAAGGAAACAATCTTGAAACACCAGAGATGACAACCAATACACCTATCAAATATAAGGAAACAGAAAACTTATCAGCATAAGATATTGTGCTTTCTATTGAAAGTCTTTCCAGCAAAGAATTTTGCAATGATAAGTCTCTCTGAGCTCAGGAAAAAGTTAGCATCCTCATCTTTCTCAAATGGCAGCTATCCCCTTCTTAACTAGCAGAGCACTCCTAGTTCTGCCTCACCATACTAGAAAAGTTTTTGTTTCCCCAAAATGGTTAATAAAAAACACCTTAATTAAACTCAACCTCAATAGGCTATGTGAGCTTAAACATAAATAACCATTCCGTAACTGGGACGGAAGAGACCTAATGTTCCCATCATGACCTTAAAACCACAACATTGAGGCAGTTGATCAGTTTAGATGGATGAAAGCCACATTTTTGTTTAGCTAGAACCCTCAGCTCAAACATCAGAAAATCCACTGGAACTCACTCACTCTTCCTTCCTCTCTCTCTTCCCCTCTATTTCTTGAGTAGTGGTCAGTCAATGATGGCTGAAAATAACCAATTCCATGCTATGCCCCATATTTTTTATAGATCTACCATCAAACAACACGGAAATCAAATGAAATGGGGAATAGCCAGAAGAGTAATTCTTGTATAAGGTAATATTTGCAAAAGAATTTAAAATTACTGTAGTTATTGAAGATAAATATTTTACAAAAGTGCAATTCTTGGACATCATGCAATGCATATGCATGTATATCCAAGCAAAAGCAGGCTCACCACAATCACACACACAATGTTTGGCTCAAAAAATTTCAAGCATATACGATATTAGAAACCTAAGTGGCAAAACTAAGTTTTCTAGAAACTCACATAATCACAAGTTCCCAGTCTCTTGATTGAATTTGGCCCCTGTTAAACAGAATGAGAAATAAGGTATATGCCTTAAAACAGGTATTTCCAACACAAAGGAATTTTTATTTGATCAAATTTAGCATAAACATTGAGGAAAAAACCTCTTACTTGAACTATGGTTGAATCACAAATGATCGAGACAGAGAGTGAACAATTGTGCTCTTTGCCACTGTTAGACATTCTAACAATGACACCCTTGTAAGGATTCTGCTTGTCTGTCATGTAAAAGGTAGCAGAACCATCAATATTACCAAACTGCATTTAAACACAGAACCATGGAATGGACTGTGTTTTCATAGCACGGCACCATGGAAGAAGAAAGCATCCAAACCCACAAAGGCAAAGTACCACTAAAAGCTATGTTTGTAAAATGTGGAGCATCTAAGGCATAACTAGAGAAAGAATCACCACTTTGAGAGGCGAAGTTAAGTGTTACTCTTATTCATTTAAGGTCTGGACTCAGGAAGACACTAGAAAGACACCAAGAAATGACACATAAACTTGACTTACCAATTACGCTAACGTTCGTACTTGAGACTTGCCCAATAGTAGTGCATACTTGGTAACCTGCATAAACCACATTGAGTCAATTAGAATGTATAACTTTAACATACCACACTTATTTTTTCCAAAGAAGGGAAGAAGCAGGATGGGAAAATTTCTAGTATCCTAGAGGCATATATGATAGTCTGTACTATGTTAACAATAATACACATGTAAAGTATTATAACCACTTCTGTGGTTGAGGAAAACTTATGATTCTAAATTTCAAATAACACAAATGTGAAGTAGCAATGCACTTCAAAAAGAAAGAAAATTTAACACTTCTTTTGTCAAACTTTGATATGATAAAATTTAGAAAGATAATCAGTTACTATATAGGGATGCTAAAGCACAGAAATTGGAAAGAAAATTGAATAATAAAGACTAATAGCTTGGTTAAGGAAACTCAATAATAGCAGTTCAATTACTCTGATAATTTGAATCAGTGATTCTCATTAACCAGTAAATCATGATGTAAAATAATAAATCATAGTCAACAGTAGCACTCAGTTATAACTATTAAGCAACGGAACTACTAACTAAATGCAAACAACTTTGAAAATTTGTTTACCTCCAGCATTTTCAGCCACTAGTGCACTACATTTCATTCCACAATGTGAAGGGCCTCCACAGTCCTGAATTATCATGAGACAATCAAATAAAAGAAGAGGAAAAGTTTGTAAATCATGACATGCATCCTTATTCTGGCTGTTTCATAGTTACGATGGAAACAACTAAACTTGCATAAAATTCAAGAAGCACTTACTGAGCACTTAACACATCTAGGTGGATCATGGTTAAAAATCATTCCATCGCAAAGCTGTTCCGTTGAGTCATTGAAAAGAAAGCCAATAAGAAAATAAGATGAATTTATATGGTAAGAGATTATATACATGCTAGTAAAAGACCCTCGTATAAAAATTAGTAGCAATTTATAGCTTCTGCTCAATGGTTACAAGCACTCAAGGCACAACATTTCTTCAGCTTACATGACCAACAAGAATTTAAAAGCAGAATTCAGTAGTTTAACCATCTCAGAACCCACAGAAAAAGTTCATAATTCAAAATAGAAACCAAAAGAAGAAGAAAAAAAACAATGTTACTTAAACAAAGAAATAAAGTGTGACCTGATGGAGCCAACCTGAAACCAGAGCGCAGTCTCATTCACCATCACTTTATAAAACCTATCACATGTACACAAAAAGAAACACATTTCAATAAAATAGAAGCTGACCCAATTGAGATAAGAAAGTTTCCTACCAAACTAAGTGCAACACAACACAACACAAGCAAGCTGGTTCTCAATTTTGAAAACAACAAAATTTCCAACTCCAAGCAGTTCTAAAGTTCTATTAAATCAAGGCCAAGGCTTTGTGAACCAAAGGCTTAACCCAAATGGTTCACCCACCTCCCTTAAGTGGTGGATTCTTGCAAGGCTGGGGTTCAATTTCCAGCACTTGCAATTTCCCTTCCCCTATTCCCCATGACTTCAAAAAAAAGAGGCAGGCTTTATCAAAATTTAACTAATCAAAACAAGTGTTTAAGCTTAATAATACCTTATCAACTAAGAATTGATTCAACTGTAGCAAAAACCATTTTCTCTTTATCCAAATTCAACATAAACATTCTTTAAATAAAAATAGCAAACTTGTTTACAAGTTTATAACTAAACAAATCACATACCGCAGAAATTTCTCTCCTTGATTAGTTTATTACACCAAGTTGGACCAAACAATTAAACTGAACAATTCTTTTTTTTTTTTTTGAAGAATTAAACTGAACAATTCTAAATTATTAGTATAATATATAATAAAAAAGGGAATTAACAAAATTTTCAACTACCTCGGACCACTAGAAATAACCAATATATTAAAAAAATACAACATTTTATACCAAAATTCAATTAAAAAAAACTCAATTTACGAGAAAATGGGAGATATTTAGATCAGAAAATTACTAAAGGTAAGAGAAAGAGGTGTGTTAGTAAGTTACCCGTCTTCGCTGAGGACGCCGTGAGGGAATCTAGGTAGAGGAGAAGCCAAGCTAAAGTTGTAGAGCTTGTTACGGTCAATGAAGCTGTATTCGCAGAGTCCATTGACTGAGTTAACTCGGAGTTGAATCGTCAAGAGAAGACTTATGACAAGAAGAAGCCATCTCCGAGATTCATTTCCAATTATCATTTTTTAGCTTAATGAAATTGTCTTTTTGGATTAAATTTTTTTATTTCTTTGATTCCAGAATTTCCTCTGATTTTCTTTTAATTTATTTATTTATCGTCGACAGAATTTAAAAAAAGTGAAACGAAGCTGGACCGAAAGAGACAAACGAGAAACAAACCTTCTACACTACATCTTTAAGAGGAAATTTAAACTATGAGTTAATTGCTACATTTCACACTAATTTTTGCTTAATTACAAATGACCCCTTTTATTTTAAAAATGTTATTTAACTAATATAATTTCGACTAAAACTCGAAATTTTTTTAATTTAAATTCGATTTAATTTTGTTTGATTAAAAAAAATTATGTTTAAACGACGACGGTTTACGAGTTCTATTTGAAACACTTCCTTTTCCCAACATTTCAGATCATATAAATTCATTAGAAAATCGAAAGCAGCGGCAGATTGAACTGCGAAGCCGCTATGGACTCCAACTCACCGAATTCAAGCAGCGCGTTAACTGACACGCGCTTCTCCGACCTGAAACCGCCTCTCTCCGAGCCGATTATCGAAGCCTTGTCTCTAGCTGGCTTTAAATTCTGTACCCCAGTCCAAGCCGCCACAATCCCGTTGCTATGTAGCTTCAAGGACGTAGCCGTTGACGCCGCCACCGGCTCTGGAAAAACCCTAGCTTTCCTTGTCCCTATCGTAGAGATTTTGCGTCGATCCTCTGCTTCTCCTCCCAAACGTCACCAGGTTCTCCTTTTCCTTAAAAACGAAATTTTATTTTGTGCTGTTTTGTTGTTGCTTTATATTTTTTTCTCCTTTCTGTTTGGCTGCTGAGAAAACACGGGAAAACTAGATGAATGCTGGTGGAAAGTTTCTCTTTTTTTTTCGAATTTGAAATAATAAAACAATTGCTTCTATTTAGATACTTGAAATTGCTTTGTTTAAAGGCTTGTTAATTATTAAGTTTTGAATTTTCCCCAGGTAATGGGGATGATTATATCACCTACGAGGGAGCTTTCGTCGCAAATCTATAACGTCGCACAACCTTTCGTTTCGACCTTGTCCAATGTAAAGTCTATGCTTCTTGTTGGAGGTGTTGAGGTAAAAGCAGACGTCAAGAAAATTGAGGAGGAAGGAGCGAATTTATTGATTGGCACTCCTGGTAGACTTTATGACATAATGGACCGGATGGATGTGTTAGATTTTCGTAACCTCGAGGTAGTTATTCAAATTGTTATTTTCTTTTATCTTGTATGAAATTGGAAAAGTGCTTAATTGTCGCTTAAATGATAGTTTATCTAATCCTCACTATTTAATGTCAATGGCAAGAAAGAAATGTCTTCAAATATTAGCAACAACCAAATAATAATGCAATAATGTAATTTTTGGTAGTGTGGAAATTTTTCTTAATTTTTTCCTGTAACAATTATTAATATGTGTAGCGACAAGTGAGTGGTTTGATCATGCTTATTTAATGAAAACATGACTATCATATTTGATGTCATTGTTTTCATGAACATACACTCTATTGCATTATCTGTTGCCCTTTTGGTTGGTACAGGTTTTGATTTTAGATGAGGCTGATAGGCTTCTGGATATGGGATTTCAAAAGCAGATAAATTATATTATATCTCGCTTGCCAAAGCTTCGTAGAACTGGTCTTTTTTCAGCTACTCAAACAGAGGCTGTTGAAGAGCTATCTAAAGCAGGACTAAGGAATCCAGTGAGGGTTGAAGTTAGAGCTGAGATGAAGTTACTAAATAATTCTGCTTCATTTGAGCAATTATCTTCATCAAAAACACCCTCTGGCCTTCACCTTGAGGTATACTACACTATCTATTTCTATTTACCTGTAAAACTTTGGTCTTTAATTTCACTAACTCCTTTTAGAGTTCAATATTCCCTAGCTAATGCTTTATTATTAAGTGGAAAATAATTTTTCATTAATTTTTACATTTGCTAGAGTTTTTCTTTTAATTTTAGAAAGAAAATTACAAAAGGGATGTTTGTTCTTACTTGAATACTTGACATTCTTTCTTGGTTCTTTCTTGTCAAATGACATCCATTGAGTTCTTTTTCCTTCATGAGGTGGATATCCCAAATGAAAACTACTGTCTAATTTGCAGCTTTGTCTTCTTTCCTTTTACCATCAAGTGTGGAGGTGAAGAAAGGATAATTTATTCAATATGTTTGCTTTTCTGTCTTTTGATTCTACATTGTCCCTTAGTCATCACTTGCATAGAAAACCCTACCATGTTGGCATGTTCTAAGAGCAATTTTTTTGAGTGGTATGAACCGTATCTGAATTTTTGTTTGTTTATAAATTCGTTTTCTTTTAATTTTGCAGTATTTGGAATGTGAAGCAGATAAGAAACCATCACAACTTGTTGATCTCCTTGTAAAGAACAAATCTAACAAAGTTATAATGTAAGTTATTTCATGGAGACTTTTCTCCGAGTATGTTTAATGCAGTTTCATTTTACCAAAAAGTCAGTGAGTTATTGTAGGTTATCAAATGATTTAATTGCTTATGCAGATATTTTATGACTTGTGCTTGTGTTGACTATTGGGGAGTTGTTCTTCCGCAACTCACTGCATTGAAGGGTTTCTCTTTAATCCCTCTACATGGAAAGATGAAGCAGGTAAAATTACAGAGATTATTACAGCTTGTCCATTTGATAAGTTTGGAAATTCATGAATTGATTTGTAATCTGATGTATTTACTCTTTTGCTGCTCTATAGACTGCAAGGGAGAAAGCATTAGCTTCATTTACCTCTCTTTCAAGTGGCATTCTTCTATGTACTGATGTTGCAGCACGTGGGCTTGACATTCCAGGTGTTGATTGTATAGTGCAGGTAGCTTATACCCACAAGACATTGTAACTTTACTAATAAATAACTCTAGAAATTTACATTGAGGCAAGTTAACCTTTTGCTTCAGTTTCTGATAGGTGATTAATGAACCATGGATTATGTGCTTGGTCCTTTTGCAGTATGATCCCCCTCAAGATCCTAATGTATTTATTCACAGAGTTGGGAGAACTGCTCGGTTGGGTAGAAAAGGAAGTGCCATTGTTTTCCTATTACCTAAGGTGCAGTTCACACTTCTAGGTTTATGTCCTCATTTGCTTGAGTGGTTTTTATAGTTTTATTTTTTGATTAGGATTTTCCATGTTGTTTCCTTAGCTTATTTCCACCATTTTAATAAAGTTGATCTATTTTGTTACACTTTTGCAGGAGGAAGCATATGTAGAATTTTTGCGCATAAGAAGGGTTCCTCTTCAAGAGAGGAAATGTGTTGATGATGCTTCTGATGTTGTTCCTCGGGTAAACAAAATTTATATTTTGATAACATCCTTACCTCGTTTATTGCACTATCCTTTCTTCATCAATTATCTTTTCTTAAACTTGTTTCAGATAAGGTCTGCTGCAACAAAAGACCGTGATGTTATGGAGAAAGGGCTTAGAGCATTTGTTTCCTATATCCGTGCATACAAAGAGCATCACTGCTCTTACATTTTCAGGTTCTAACTTTGCTTTGCCTTTTTAATTTGCTGCTTGTCTTTCACTCTCTTTGTCTAAATTAATTTTTGTTATCTAACAGATGGAAAGAACTTGAAATTGGAAAGTTAGGTATGGGATATGGTCTATTGCAGCTCCCTTCTATGCCTGAGGTAAAGCACCATTCACTTTCCACTGAGGGTTTCACTCCAGTTGAGAACATCAATATGGATGATATCAAGTATAAGTAAGAACTCTGCCTTGTTGAATAGACAATTAATCTCCAACTATGCCTTCATTAGCAGATCCCTTTTTTGGTTAGAAGTTCCAAGAAATTGTTCCTTTGATCAATTTTCCAACTTAATCTAAATTTTAATTTTTTGCATAGGATCTTATTGAAGGACAATATGATGAATCATTCAGCTATTAACTTTTTTATCTGTAGCCTCTAAAATCTAACCTTTTATCTTCTCCAATTCCTTGCCAATCTAATGTCTTTCTAACCTATTCTAGTTGCTAATGATGGTGATTATTTAGGGATAAATCTCGTGAGAAACAGAGGAAGAAAAATTTGCTAGCGAAGAAAGAACGAGAGCAGCAAGAATCAAAACCCCAGAAGCCAAAAAAAGCCTCAAATGCTGCAGCCTCTGTCATGAGGAAGAAAACAGCCAAACAAAGACGTGCTGCCCAAACAATTGAAGATGAAGAGGAATTGACCCGGGAATATCGTCTACTGAAGAAACTAAAAAAGGGGACTATTGATGAGAGTGAGTTTGCAAAGTTGACAGGAGCTGAAGATTTACTTTGAAGTATGTGATTTGCAGATTTGACTTGCCTGTTGGAGGTGTGAATGCATTGTGCCTGGGCTCCAAGATTTTATTTTAAAGGCAAGATATGAAATTTAAACCATTGTTAATGAAGAGTTTCAGACGTACTGATAGTTTTCTTGGGGGGACTACCCCTCTAGAGCTCTGAATAAGTCGCAGCTGATATTTCTGCGAGGTACAATTTTGCTAGTGAGAGCGAGCGGGAACTCTGGAACAGAGAGTGACTAGTAAGTTTTAGGATTGAAGCTTTCTTCTTTCATGCATTTGTTTTGTTCAGTCAGTCACTATACTGTTGTAACTTGTAATGAAGGGCACCTATCTGAAACAGAATATTTATAGATTTGATTTTAGAAATGCAATTCTGAATCGAAGATAATTCTTTTATTGGTTCTGGAATTTGGGTCTTAATAGGCTACATGGAGTCATTGGAGGAAATTGATAATTTCCCATGTAGTTTCTTCAAAGAACGAAGAAATGGTAGTAACAAGTAAATGCAAAATATCATGTATCTTAGCGGTTTGCCTACCAAATTATTTCTCTGCTGTGAATAAAGGGTTATCTAAGTCAAGTCTGCATAAATCTTCTACCACGAAGGAGCCTTTGACATCAATGCCAACCCAGTCATTACTCAGGATTTGGCTGAACATTGAATATGCCAACGACTAAATGTCATTGGCTGAAAGGAAGAGGGTCAAATGTTCTAGTGAAGCAAATGCCTCAGATATCTTGTTGAAGTCATATTATATTTATTTGGATAATGTCACGGATTCAACACTTCAATTTTTAAAAAATTTTTTTATATGTATTTGAGACTGTAAGAGATAGAAGGGATTGGAATGAATAGCCTTTCCTACCTTCAAGGTAGCTTCCAAACTCACATCATATGTCTCTAAAATCAGATGGTGACTTCAAGTGGGCCTTTCTCTTGAATTTTCTTCTGAAATGAAAAGGGAAAAAAAAACCAAATTTAGTAAAGTGATCATTGTGTCACGTCAACTTACAAAACCAAACATGGCTCCAGGATGGGTTATGCAAGAGAGTAGCAATTGAGCACATTGCAATGAAAGGATACACATCAACAGAAATTCAGATTGTATGCTACGGGCAACAGCCTGAAAATAGTTCACTTGAATCAGAAGCCAGACCAAATACCCAGGATCCAGCAGAATATTAGAATTTCAACTCCTGACCAGAATACAGAATTTCGTCCATCTAATTCCTGGATCTTCGAGGGTCAGGACCAAAACCCTTTGTCTTAAGATCAGCTGTAAATTGAAAGATGGAAAGAATACTTTTTTCCCTAGATACAATATCACTGTTGAGAAGGAAAACTAACAAAACAATCAGTCAGGAAGAAATCTAGAAGGCCGAAGGTGTGATGTCCATGGCTCACTCTATCCATCTGGTGCATTTGCATTTCCTTTCTTTGTTTAGAAGACAGCATTTCTTTGTAACAGGTTATCCTGTTTCCTAGTCAATGAAGGAAATATTTCAATTATCAAAAAATTTAAAAAATAATATATATATAACAAAAACAAATTCAGAAAATAAAATAAAAGAAACGGGAGAAATGTTGGCCCGATATCGAAGCAGTCTCTGAGTGAAATAAAAGGAAGTCATGAGTGAAGCACAAAGGAGACCTAGGATGAGTCCAGGATTTGAATCCATTGGCCAAATGCCCAAATGGAAGGAGATTGAGCCCAGCCTCAATCTATTTAATAAAAGAAAGTCTTAAATCAAGCCCAAACTTTAAACTTGGCCAACTTGCAAGCAGACCGTCTCAGAAAACAAGTTTAACCAAGAGATACATGCTACGTGAAATTATCATCTTAGGTTTGAATTTCATCGTATTTTTATATAATGTGATTAAGTTTATCACATTATTAATTGAATTTAAATATCAATTTTAATAAAATTCATTTAACATAAATTTTTTATTAAATTTTTTTTTCAAATACAAGTACAATAATTTTTTTAATCATAATTATAATAATTTTTATTATTATTTTTAATTTTATTGAAACCAATCTCATCGCCCATTCAAATAAAGCTTAAACAAATAATAAATATAAATAAGCTTGATTAGTTAGTTTTATAATTAAGAAATAGATACGTATTTCAAGTTACATGCATGTTTTAAATTTTATTAAAAATTCAAAATAAGTAAATAAAATTAAAAATTAAGAGTACATTAAAATTTTGAAAAAGAAAAAAGAAAGAAAAGAAAACATCGCTCCAAAATCAAAATTATCTTGTTTCTTTGCGTAAAATGGACAGTAGCATTTCTGTTTCTTGAATTGTCCAAGCAAAGACTTTGTAACTAAATAATGAATACTCTACAGATGACTTCTTTTTTCTTTTTTCTTTTAATAAAGATTTTTTGTTTCTTTGTGGGGGGCTAAAATATCAGTGGAATTCTTAATTTATTTGTAAATTTAATTTCAATGTAAGCAATATGAAAAAAAATCAAAATTTAATTATATATAACATATACACATATATATCATTGAAAATTAATTTTATTTCAAGCTGAATAGAATATTATACTTCAGACTTTATACACCATGCACTGAATTCAAAAATGGCGGCGGGGTGATTGACTTGATCTCGTCCTTGAACATGTCCTCTCCCAGTGGAAGACAAATCGGTGGTTTAGACCAGTCTCTTATAAGCAAGTTTGTACTTCTTCAATCAAATTAATATAAAGTTTTTCAACTATTCAATTTTCACCATTGAATTCCAATATGAACTTGCTTGAGATTTCAATAGCTCTTTGCGTTCTAGCCTTACCTCTGCTAGTCTTTCCAGTTAGTTCCAAGGATTTAGCCCAAGAGTGCCTAGACGGCCACAACGCAGCTCGTAAAGAGGTTGGTGTTCCGTCCATGAGATGGGACAACGTGTTGGAGGCCTATGCACTGAATTACTCTCAAGGAAGGATTGATAATTGCAATCTGGACCCTGCAGTTGGCCCTTCGGGTCAGAACCTCGCTTGGAGCACCACTGATCTTTCAGGAACTGATGCTGTGAAAATTTGGGTTGATGAGAAGAACTATTACGACATGCAATCTGGTCTTTGTGCTACAGGCAAGATGTGTAATCATTATACTCAGGTTATTTGGATTAATTCAACTCAACTTGGATGTGCTAAAGTTAGATGCAATAACAATGGAACTTTCATTACTTGTTACTATTACCCAGCTGGTAACATTCCTGGTAAGCGTCCAACTGATGGGATTGAATCCTTTATTCAATCAGTCCCTCCCAGGCCTCAGAATCAATCCCCTCAGCGACCAAAAGGAAGTAACAACAGGACAGGGTTAGTGATAGGGTTAAGTGTAGGAGGAGCATCTGCCTTGACTTTTGGGCTTGGTGTCATGACTTGGTTCATTTCAAGACGAAAAAGGAATAGAGAAAACGAATTTGATGATCATGTTTCCGAGATGTTTTTTGGTCATGATTTTGGGAATGGAATGGGACCAAGGAAGTTTTCATTGAATGAATTGGCTAAAGTGACAAGTAGCTTTAACACTGAAAATAAGTTGGGAGAGGGAGGATTTGGCTCAGTTTATAGAGGATACCTGAGGGACTTGGATACATATATTGCTGTTAAAAGGGTTTCAAGGACATCTAAGCAAGGGATTAAGGAATACGCGTCTGAAGTGAAGATTATTAGCCAATTGAGGCATAAGAATTTGGTGAAGCTTATTGGTTGGTGCCATGAAAGAGGGGAACTCATGCTTGTTTATGAGTTCATGGTTAATGGAAGCTTAGACACCCATCTTTTCAAAGGAAAAAGCTTGTTGACATGGGAGGTGAGATATAAAATTGTGCAAGACTTGGCATCAGCATTGCTATATTTACATGAAGAAGGAGATTATTGTGTGCTACACAGGGATATCAAAACCAACAACATTATGTTGGATTCTAGCTTCAATGCTAAACTTGGAGACTTCGGGTTAGCCAGGCTAGTTGATCATGCAAAAGGGTTAAAAAATACTCTTTTGGCAGGAACTTTGGGATACATGGCTCCTGAATGTCTCTCTTCTGGGAAGGCTAGCAAGGAATCAGATGTCTATAGTTTTGGAGTTGTGGCATTGGAAATTGCATGTGGCAGAAGGTCAATAGAATCCAAACTTGAAGAGTCTGAGTCTTTATTAGTACCTTGGGTGTGGAAATCATATGGAACTGAAAGGATACTTGATGTAGCCGACAAGAAATTGGGTATCGCCTTCGACTCTAAACAGATGGAATGTTTGGTGATTGTTGGACTGTGGTGCGCCCATCCGAATCATGATCTTCGACCATCAATAAGGCAAGTCATACAGGTTCTTCATTTTGAGGCACCATTGCCAAATCTCCCAGGTAGCATGCCTCTTCCCAATTATAATGTACCTATTGCTCCTAGAATTGGATCAAGCGAGCCACGTATATCTAATTCAACTCTAACAATCCCTCGTTAGATTGATCTGGTAATTTTTCTACCAAATTTTACATGTCTCAAACACTATTTTCCCTTTCTAATAAAGCTTGAACGTTTATTTTTTAGACTCTAAGTTTGAAAGCCTGCTTGCAGCCATTTTCATTAATTATCATGCAACCATTTATCATTATAATTTTTGAACAGAGATGGATGGTCCAAGAAAGTTATCTGTGTATTTCAGTTATAATTGGAAAATGTTGGAATATTTAATGTAGAATATTGAAGAGAAAAGAATTGAAGATCATATATACATACAAACTGAAAACAGGGAATGTCATTTGAAAATCAAACAACCTTTATTTGGAAGTATTACCTTAGAGCACTCAAAACATTATAAAAAGGTTCTTCTTCACCACCAATCAAACTATTAATAAATTTGATAATTTAAAATAAGATATGATGACATAATACGAAAATAATACGAATAAAAAATATAAAAATAACACAGACTTAAAATCTTAAAAAAATATATAAATAGATTTAATAAAATAAAAAATTTTATTTTATAATTCATATCGATACAAATTATAACACAATTTTTATGTAAAACACGATATAATTATAATATTTTATAAGATACAATAACACGAATTACCAAGACGTGCCCATAAATCAACATTCTTGTAATTAATTATCTATAAATAGTCATACGAGTTTAACAAATATTTAAATTGAACACTTGGTTTAAAAACATAGGATGAATGAATTAATGATCATACAGCTCGATAATTGGCAGAAAAGGGCAGCAATAGAAGAAAACTTGGCAAAGATGGACTTTGGAAATGCTTCAACATTAAACAAAAGCGAGTGAGGAATCTTAAGTCAGTTGTTGCTGCCTTTGTCCTTTCTTCATCTTCTAAAATACTTAGTTAGAAGCATGGAGAGAGATGGATTTTAATTACAAAATCGTATCGAAATTTTAAAAAAAGGGAACCAAAAAAATAAACTATCTTTTCTTTGTGGACTTGCCACGAAGTGAAGAGGTTTTCCTTGCAGCTCAGCCCACGTGAAGAAGCTAGATGAACTGAGATCTACCATGGCACGTGGCATCTCCATCAAAAAAAATTTTCTTCTTCTTTTAATCATGATTGATTAAAAATAGTAACACAGATCAGTAGTAATTTAATTAGGATATAAAAAAAATTGGAAGAACAAAGGTTTGAGGTTAAAAAATAAGGCATAGAAGCAAACATCAAATTCTTCGGTATTTTCTATGTTAAGGCTTGGTTAGGTGAATGAATTTTTATAAAGACCTAATTTTGTTCTCTAATATTTTAAAAATACGATACATTTAAAATTTTCCTTTCGAAACGTTGATGCTACTGATTAACTTAACTATTGAAATTTTTATTTTGTTCATAAGTATGGGAATTTATGTCTTTGATTGTTTGAGAAAGAGCACCGACCCCACCTCCCTTTTGTATTTTTTTTTTTTATCTAAGTCAAGTAATTAAGAAAATCTGTAGTTTACTTCACTTCTCACATGGTAGAGTTGACCTTATCATCTTGCTCTTGTCTTACTACACACACTATGTTCTGTCTCTCTTTGTCATTTTAATTAAAATAAACAAAGACTTGCAGAAGTAACTTAGAAATTAATAACTGTTCTCTGCCAGAAAACCCAAAAAAAAAAAAAAGGGATTGATTTGAAAAGAAAAGAGAGATTTTATTCTCCAAAGATGCTCTCTCTCTTGAAAGAGTGATCATGAATTACATTGGTAGAAGAATTACTAGCAAAATTGAGGTACTGATTGTGGAGAAGAAATGATTTGTCATCTTGGTCTAATATTTGAGGGGTCGGTACCATTGGCTCTTGCTGCATCTGGATGCAAAGTATTTCAGCTTGAGCCACTGCTAGCTGCATTTGAAGCTGAGAAACCTGGTTCTGTAAATAAGATATGGCCCCTACACATCCATAAACTGGGTCTCTCACCCTTGCATTTGCTTCATACACCAAACTGCTCACTGCATCTGCCCTTTGCTGAACTGGTAACTCCTGCCTCCAATCAAACAATATACATATATAAATCATAATATGATCAGTCCAATGAGTTATTTGAGATTCTAGTCTTAAGATCATAGAGCTACTTAATCCCAACCGTGTTATCAGGAACAAAAAAAAAAAAAGAAGAGGGAAAATTCACATAGAGATGATTTTATGAACCTGCAACATTTTGCTGACATTGCTAGCACCAAAAACCTTGTGAACCATGGCAAACTTGTGGGGATCATCAGAAGGGAAGTAAGGGGCAAAGATGCAGTCCTTGGCACAGCGGCGTCGAAGCAACTTGCAGGAAGCACATGGCGAATTTCCTCCCATATTTGGAAAATCAAATTAAGTGTTTAAATTTCTTGGTAATTGATGAAGAAAAAAAAAGGGAAGGAAAGAAACTTAAGCTAAGTCTAGAAGTGATCCGCTAGGAAGGGTTTGAGTAAAGCACAAAGCTTAAATTAGAGCTGGAGAGAATAAGCTGAAGGGGTATGCATATTTATAATGGCTAGCCAAAGACCGTTTCTGCCCAAATTGTGCCATGGACCAAACCAGGGGTAACTGTCTTCGTTTACAAAAGTATTTCATATATAATAATTATTAGCGAGGCTTGACAAATTAATTATATTATTGATCTGACAATTAAAACATGACACAAAAACATTACAAATAAGAGATATGAGGATGATATGATTTAAAATTTAGTTAAAATTATAAATGAGTTTAATAAAATAAAAAATATATATACATTTCATATTTTTTTATTGACACAAATTGTGACACGTAATTTTATATAAAATATGATACAAATACATAAATTATCAATATTTTATATGATACAAATACACAAATTACCAAATCTTATATACAATGCTAAACTAGCTATTAGTTAGACATAATATCTAAAAGGTTCTTTGACAACATAGTGAGAGGAATTGTCATGAGTTTCACAGTGTTGTTGATCAATAGTAATTAGATTTTTCCTCCACCACATCGGGGAGTTAGAAGATAAACTACTTTAATTCCTATTTCAAAAATAGATAATTTTTTATTTAATTTTATAAAATTAATAACAAATTTATGAGTTCAATAACAAAATAATTATCATAATATATAGATCTAAAAATTTATAGCTAAATTTAATAAATGAAGTCGCCACCAAATTTTTTTAATTAGTTGTGATTAGCCACCTAATGAATCTATCATTTGAAGGAGCTTCTAAGTTTAACTAAGGGTCTCTAAAGAACAGTTCTGACTTTCTGAACAGAACTAAATTTGAGAGTTTGATTATGTGTAGAAAAGATTATAACACCCACACAACGTCCATCATAAGATGATACTATTTAATTTTAAATTATCCTAATAATTATCTTGATTCTAATAGTTTTTATTTTAATGTTTAAATATTGAAAATAACTTTTAAGATTTCTTTGTCAATCTGGAAGGATTTTTAAAAATACTTCCTCATCTCAAAAATATTCAAGAATCTCATTTGTTTTCTTAAAGAGGTTCCACCGTTGGAAAAACATTTAATTATTATTTTTATTGAAAATATTTCTAATTCATCCATCATTTGGGCCAAAATTAAAAATATTTTCTCATCTAGAAATTTTTTAGATAATCAACCAATTTGCGATTACTAAAACTTTCATCCTCAAAATTTATTTTTATTTTTATTTTTCATTTTTAAATTTTTCACTATTTGGGTCAATTTAGAAATTTTCTTTTTTATTTTTAAATTTTTCACCATTTTTGTCTATTTAGAAATTCTTTATTTTATTTTTTTATTTTTGGAAAGAAGATAATATGACACTTTTTTTTCTTTTTTTTTTAAGTTCCATTTAAATTATTCCATCAATTGGGATAAATTTAAAGAAATTTCTGTCCTAGAGATTTCTTAAGAAATTTCTCTCCTAGAGATTTCTTAAGAAATTTATCATTTGAAATTCCTAAGATTTTCATCCTTGGATAATTGTCAAAATTTTCAACAAAAAATTTTTATATTTGAAAATGAATACAATTACTTTTATTGAAATTTCCTCTAATTATTCTCCCATTTGAGATAAATTAAAAAAAAAATTTCATCTAAAAATTTCTTAGAAATTTACTATTTAAAATTTCTAAAAATTTCATCATAGGATAATTATTATTTATTCTTAAAAAATTATTTTATTATTTATTTTGTTCTATTTCTTAATTTTCTTTTTTAATTTTTTCTAAAATTTAATCATGCAAAAATATTTTAAAAATAAATAAACAAAATAAATAAATAAATAAAATAAAAAATACTAAAACAAGAACCGACTCAACTCAGCTAGTGTGTGTGGTTAGGCTACAGGCACGAAACTAGCTGAAAATGCTTGGGAAGCGGCTCAACTCAGCTTAGGTGTAAGTTGCTAGATACTGAGATTGATCACCAGAATCTAGATAATTACTCCAGAATTTTACGCTCAATTGCTATCAAACTCTTGCTTTCACTTTTTCCTCTATTTTTTTTTCAATTGCTTTCTGATTATTGCCTTTTGTTTTGTGGTTTAAAGGTCTATTTATAGGGTACAATAAAAAGAATTTTAGATTGATTCCACTTTCAAAAATTAAGATTATCATGAAAAAATAAAATTTAACTTTGAAAAGTTTAACTTCAAATTTAATCATGATAAAACTATATTATCATCAGCCACTACTTTTTAATTTTTGGCCATTCTTTTTTTTTTTCAATTATCCTTTTTTTTTAAATATCCATATATATTTAAAAAAATCAGATAAATATAAGAAAATATAATTAAAGATAAACAACAAATAAACAAGATAAAATAAGTAATAAAATAAAATAAAATAAGATCAATAAATAAAAAATAAATAGATAAATAAAGTAAAAATATAATTTTGACAATTAAGCTTAGACCAAATATGAGCCCAATTGATTAGGGCCTTCGACTTTAAAATTAAATCAGGCCCAGTTGATTTAGACCCCAAACTAAATTGGATGTCTACAGCTACCCCTATTTGTATATTTTCTGTACAACATGAATCATACAAAGATATAGACATCCATTATGTCTAGGTGTAACTTAACAATAATTACAGAATCTCGAAACTCCAAAAATTTACAATTTGAAATATTCAAAAACTTCATAATCCAACAATTAGTAATGCAAGTTGAAACTAAAAAATTCACAATTTAAGCTCAAAGAATCACCATTTCGAAATTAAGGATCAAGTGTAAAAAGGATAGAAAAGGATAAAAATATATATATATATATATCATTTACAAAACTTTGATGATTAGGTCAGGAAAAGAAGATGAAGAATTTAGAGAGAGAATTTAGAGAAAGTTGGAACCTAACCTCCCTGAGCTAAGAATACAAAATGATATTTAAAGATATAAAAAGGATGTACAATAAAGAGTGAACAGTAATTAGATTGATTATCTTTTTACCGTTTTTCTATAGTGACTACTATAGAGATTTTTGTTTGACTGCAACAGTATTTATTGTTTGCTAGCCTTGGGCTCCAAATAGCTTTGTCTTGTAGTGTCGACAGCTTAGATTAGCTTATCTTCAGCTTATTCCTGCTTGGAATATCTCTGTCTATAGACTGAAATTTATGTCTATTGTTGTCACAAGCTACAAAGAAACATGAAATAAAGAAAGATTTCTTAATTATTTCTACGAAACATGGCAAGGAGATGTATTACAATTTCTCAAAAAATGAGAAAGTATAACTCTGAAAGAAACTCAAAAATCATCCCTTATCGCAACAGGTAATATACCCTAACTTTTAAAAGATCTAACTCAAATTTTTAAAAATGAGTTTTGTGGGAGTACAAAAACTCTGGATCCCAACCAAGAAGCTCAATATTTTTTATCAAAATTAAAATGATGTGATATTAAAAATTTAGATGATTTTTGCAAAAGATATATTTTTTAATATCAAAAATTGGATGAAGAACATTCAAAATTTTGGTTACAATAATTTTTTCTCAAACTTCCCTCACCATAGAATGAGCTTTGTTCACAAAATTATACTACATAATCTTGAAGTTAAGATTAAAGCTTCAAATGCTGCAAATCCCAATTTTGAACTATATGATACTTTAGGCTGTTGCATAAAATATGTGCAGAATCAAATTACAAAATATTGTCTCAAGCAAAAGGTTGCCAAATAGGTAAAATCTAAACTTAGTTACAAACAATGTACTAAGATTTTAGAAAATGATTTAGAATTTCATTGTAACAAACAACCAATTCGAAGAAAATATCATTTTAAAAAGAAAAAATATTTTTGGAAAAAATAAAAACTAGCAAAACTTGGTAAATCTAAAAAGCCTAAAATAGGTAAATTTTTAACCAACAAAAAGAAAAAATCTTCTAAACAAACATGTAAATGTTTTATTTGTAATCAAGAAGGTCATTATGCAAATAGCTGCCCTAACAAAGGGAAAAGTGCTCGCAAAATGATCAAAAAACTTGATGAAAATTCTTTAGAAATTTTATTTGCAGAAGAATTATCAGATGAAGAAATTTTTTATGAAGTTTTTTCAGAAATCGATAATGAATCATTTAATACTGATTCTGAATATATTTTTATGATGAATACATAATCTAACTAAGATACTGTATCAGAAGTTTCTACAAGTACTAATACTTCTAACCCAGAAGGATTAGTAAAGCTCAAAAATGTGATATTAGTTTTTTATCAAGATTTTTATATCCTTTTCTCACCTCTTTGTAAATTGTTTATGTTTGCTAAAAATAGTATCCATCCAACACTGAAATATTTGTGGAGCATTGTATAGACCAAAAGGTATAACAGTCCATTGACAATGTCCTGTTAGTGCACTAAAAGTAGTTAATAATTTTGATTCAAGTTTAAGCATGATTTGTTAAAAACCAGATTTGCAATCAAATTTTGAAAAATATTTAGCATTTTTTGCCAAATTTAATAAAACATCTTTTCTAGGAATAAAATAGCTATCAAAAATAAGATTTTGATTTAATCTCTTATAATTGATAATCATGCAGGGTTTACCTCATTTTATTTCAGAATGATTTCTTATCATGAATGTTGGGCTAGAATGAGGACTTATAGTTGGTTTTATCAAGCCTTTATCTAACAACTCTGAAATTTGAATTTCAAATTCTTCTATATCATGTTTGGTATAGATCATAGGCTTTACTCAAATTACCATTGTTGGGTCAATAAGAGTCAGCTCACAATATCTTAGGCTTTTTTCTCAAAGCTTTAGTGATTCTTCACAAAAATTTTCCTGTAAAATCTTATACAACCAATGTTTTTCATTAATTGATTTAATTATTCCTTGCTTTAAA